GCGCAGATGCCGGCTTGGATGTTGCACCTCAGGGGTTAGTTGCTCCCATTCAAACTCGTACAGTATAAGACTACCGGGTTTTGGAAGGGATAACAAAAATCCCAATTTCCTTATGATTTTTCATTTTTATATATTATGAGATATTCTACTGTAACATGAGCTTTGCCAGACAGCAATGCTTCTCCGTGTACTCACAAATTTGTAGCTCGTCAAGGACTGGAAGAGCCACTTCCAGGCTAACCGGCTTGTGAAGGGCTGAATTTTCAGATCAGTTGCCGTCATATGCAAAGTATCTGGCCGGTCTCACATGTATTTTGCAGCAGTATCAACGTCGAGATGAATCAAATTGAGAAATTCCTCCACCCCTCGGATTCGTCACGCGGTGTTCAGCCAACTATTGAGCTTTCTGACCTGTCGGAAGGCTAGAAAGTCGGCGCCAACGTTAAGAAGATCGAGGACTACAGCCTGGTTTTTGAGAGTCCGTGTAGTCACAAATCTGAGGTAAGCTACGTTGCCATTCTCGACAGACGCAGATTAGGCTAATGTCTACCATAGCTTTTGGATAACTTAGAGGCTCTAGACAAGGAATCTGATGGGCAGCACGTTGCCATCTTCGAGGCACTGTGTAAACATGTCCTAAGAGATGGGATCTCTGGTCAACATATATCAATATGAAAGCTGGCCAGGGCATCATCATTGGTTTTTGGTACATCGCGAGACTGCTCCAAAGTTTTACATCGTGCTAATGCTCTATAAGAATATTTTTGGTTAAGTCAGTGGAAGATGACGAGTCGTGGGGCGAGGCCATCCTTCAAGGGGTGGCCTGGGCTGGGGATGAAGAGGGTGCGGACGCTGTGAAGACGATGACTTTTGGGTGGACCCAACAGGCAGCAGGCGGGAGCGCATAGTCAAGAGGGTGCACTGATATTTAATTTATATGCTATTTATAACGACGATATTGAAAAGATGAGATGCCGAACTCCTAAGCGCAAAGAGATCACATATAACGGAGAGCAGAGTGAAAGCAGTAACTGACATAAGAGTATAACGGCGACTCGATCCAGAATCTTGGCTGGTCGTCCGTTCTCGCACCCCCCTGCATGGGACAAGTTCATAAGTTACTGCTGACACGTTCTATAGATCGGCAGGCACTCACAGACACAGACACATATACGACTCGCCAAGGTTGATGGCCTTGTGCAGACAATGTCTGCGCCAGGTTTGTGAGAGAAGCCTTCTACAGTGTTTTGGAGCATCGATTGGATTGCCCTTAGACGACTGAAGTGCGCGTAACTCACAGACAGATTCTTCTACATGCATGTAAGGGATAAAGTACCATTAGACACGAGAGACCCCAGAGTATACAAGAAGAGGATCCTTCTCAAGTGTCTCTGAGACTCAAGCCCTGTGAGGCGCATAGAACAGTCCGAGTTGGTACGCAATTGTCGTAAATATCATCGAGGAGTTGCTGCAATCGGTATCTGGCCGAGAGCAGAAGAAGCTCGAGCCCAGGAGGCCTACTACATGGCATCTCAAAGCGATGTTGTATGTGATCATCGCCTTCCTGGTCCCAGCCATGCCATTGAACCAGTAAACGTTGGGCTGGCCCTGGTCGCGAGTATAGTATACGGCATGATTGGTCGTATCGCCCAGTACGTGTTGGGCGAGTCGTGCCTAGCTATAGATACAGTCCAAAACGCCGGTGCGCGTCCCCTCGAGACAACCCGTGAGCTCCTGATGGCCCACCAACAAGTCGTATCGCGCGAAGGCAGCATAAGGCAGGATGGATTTGCCTAGATGATGACAGTTACAGGATAAGAATCAAACATGTTTCGGCCTATACATACCTTCTAGATGCAATTGAAAGCACTAGCAAGACCCAAAGGTTAATTTCTAGTTAGTATATGTACCGAAAGATCCTCACTTCGATACCGCACTGGATGGCACTCAACGTCTCCCCTACACGCTTCCGAAACGCGCGTGACGCTGTTGCAAGATTAATGCTGGTATAAGGGATTGAACTATATTTGTGCCAATAGTACCCACATCCAAAGTAACTTCAATCTTAAGTACACCTTCCAACTATAATGCACAGCAATATATCAGCAGATGAAGCGAATAATCTAAGATACATATTTTATACCATGAATTTCTGAATTGACAAGGGCAGTTTTTGCACCAAATTAGTGTGTTTTCCTGCATACTCCTTGCTTCTCAGCACTTTCATTACTATATTTGGGGATTAAGACCCTCGGCCTTGTCGTTGATGGCCTGAAGCGCTGTGGTACTCAAGCCGCCTGGATCTGCGCTATGGACAACGGACTCACTCAAACAATCGATCAGCTCGGGCCCGCGTGCAGGAGGCATATCCCGGCCATGAAGTTCTGTGAACTCTTTCATCACGGTCGAGAAATCCACTATATTCTCAGTGAATCCCTTGAAGCCTTCTATATTCTTATGTGACTGCTGGCTCTGACATGAGAGTTTATCACTGGGAGGAAAGTATGTAGGACACACCTGGACCATTTCCAACACCGTAGAGAGAACGCTGACACCTATCTGCAAACCTAGCACACCAACATGGCAACATTGCTGTGTATGTCAAGAGCCTGCTTTAGTACGCCGATCGCAGTGTTGGCGACATCCCTGCCCTC